AGCTCCCCTAATAAATGCTCTGGACCAGGGTGGGGAATCTTTTCATGTTGGAAGGCTCCATTAATTTAGCTATAATGAAATGAGGCTGCATTAGAGAAACTTTAATTGGATATACTTAAAAATGTAGGCCAGGCACGGTGGCTCACACCTGTAATCCTAGCACTCTGGGCTCAAGGTCGGGAGTTCGAGACCAGCCTGGGCAAGAGCTAAGACCCCGTCTCCACTAAAAATAGAAAGAAATTATCTGGACAATTAAAAGTATATAGAAAAAATGAACCAGGAGTGGTGGTGCATGACTGTAGTCCCAATTGCTCGAGAGGCTGAGGCAGGAGGATTGCTCAAGCCCAGGAGTTTGAGGTTGCTGTGAGCTAGGTTGACACCACGGCACTCTAGCCTGGGCAATAGAGTGAGACTCTGTCTCAGGAAAAAAAAAAAAAGTGACCATCATTTTGTAAAAATCTAATTACTATGTACTTAATACTTTCAAAAAGTAAAACTATTTGTTAATTTTAAAGTTAACCTTTTAATGACTTTGTTGTATCTGAGTTTTGTTAGAAAGCATTTGACTATTTGCTTGCAGCATGGAGGTTCACAGTTTCAGTTGATCCTCTAGATGGGTGTCAGTCATTTGTGATATTAAGGGCATCTTGATTTGGGTTAGGTAGCAGAATGTAGATTCACAGCAATAATTGGCTGGAAAGCAAGAAAGCATTTTGGGGGCATGTTGCCAAAAGCATGGGGATTCTACTGCATTTTTCCATATTTCAGTTAGATCTTTCTTAGCATCAAACTATGACTTTAAAATGTCATTTACTGGCCAGGCATGGTGGCTCATGCCTGTAATCCTACCATGTTTCCCCGAAAATAAGACCTACCCACAAAATAAGCCCTAGCACGATTTCTAAGCATTTGCACAATATAAACCCTACCCCCAAGAATAAACCTACCAAAAGCTTGATGGGTGTGGCTACGCAGCGCATCTGCACAACCCATGCATTGCCGCAGAGCGGTAAAGAAGAGGAGCAGCCCTCATCTGTCCCATGAGAGCTCTATGGCTCAACATGAGAGATTGGGGCCAATGGTTTTAAAGGAAATAGAGTCGCAAGAAATTCAGGATGGAATTTGGGGTTTGGAGAGTTATGATGTTCCAGAAGAAGACGACTTAACTATATTTGAATAAATGTAGATTGTTGTACCATACTTTAAAAAATAATATATCCCCTGAAAATAAGCCCTAGGGTGTCTTCTTGAGGAAAAATAAATATAAGACCCTGTCTTATTTGGGGGGAAACATGGTAGTACTCCAGGAGGCCAAGGCTGGAGGATTGCTTGAGGTCAGGAGTTTGAGACCAACCTGAACAAAATAGAGACTCTGTCCCTACTAAAAATAGGAAAAAACTCAGCCGGTGTGGTGGTGTGTAACTGTAGTCCCAGCTACTCGGGAGGCTGAGGCAGGAGGACTGCTTGAGCCCAGGAGTTTGAGGTTGCTGTGAGCTAGGCTGATGCCATGGCACTCTAGCCCAGGCAACAGAGTGAGACTCTGTCTCAAAAAAAAAAAAAAATTCAAGTCATTTTGATTTGACATGCAGCACAGAAATGCTGCATTCCTATAGAAATCTTTTAATAATTCACATTGCTGATTCTGTTCTTCATAAAATTTAACTATCTGTTCTCACAGACAAAAAAGTTTTGGCTAACAGCTGCCCATGATAGCCAACACACTTTAAAATAATACAGCAAATCCACACTGAATAACTCATTGTTCAACTTTAGCATGTTATGAAATGAAACTGAGGATATGGTATTGCATTTGCAGGAATATAGTTAACAATACTTTATAACTCGTTGCAAAGTGCCACTTAAAATAGTAGCTTTAGCACAGAGATTTTGCTGATGCAGGATACAATGAAAAGAAATGAGAATATCTGGGATCTATTAATACTTTTTTAATCTATGCAATAAACCCTTCATGTCTTCCTGTCATCAAGGTGCACTATCTTTACACTCACTAAATTAACCAGATTCAGTCCAACTTCACATCTTCCTTGAAAGTTGTTGAAGATATCTATTTCCTATGTTGTTTGCAAGAGTACCAAAGCAAGTAACTCTTCATAGCAAAGTCTTCTGCTATGACCTGAATGAGTTATAAAACCTGCACCAAGTCAGTAGTATAAGTTGGTTCATACAAAGTGACTGAATAATACATATTTTTGTTTTGAAGTAGTGCATGAACTTGTTCTGTTAAGCCTAAGGCTAATTCACACTGCCAAATCAGTTATGGTTCTCCTTGAAAGAGGCAGTTGTTAGTACTTTGAAACGTTATCAGGATCTAAGCATCCTACGACTTCAACAATGCATTCTTTCACAATTTCTACATCACTGAATGGCTTCCTTTTTTATCCAGAGTACACACACTACTTTAAAACTTATTTCAGTAGCATTATTTCCAGGTCTTATTGCTGCTTGAAAGAATAAGCTTTGCTTTTGCTTTTCATCTTTTAATTTCTGCACTATAACCTTTCACACCTCTCCCTCTAATTTAAAAATATTTGTGGTCCTTATGAGTGTTATGTTGATGAGCATTGAATTTCTTTAATGTTGATACTGCCATAGCATAAAGCAAGCAAATCACCTTATCTTTAGCAGAAACAAGATAATACTGCAATTCTCAATCATCATTAAAAAATCTGTTTTCTTCCTTCAATGTTGTCTTGGTCTTCTTTGACATGATTGGCTGTTAAGCAGACAGAATTAAAAAATACTACGGAGCTGTGCAACTACTCACAAATTCCACTTCAAACAGAAACAGTGTGTCGTTGTCAAAAGCTGATAACATATTGGTGTCCTCGATCCCATTAACTCTCGCCAACCAGCCTCATGCAGTAGCAGTGCCAGTCAGGCAGGGGAATTTAGAAGTAAACCATGAGGCCAGGGCGCAGTGGCTCACGCCTGTAATCCTAGCTCTCTGGGAGGCCGAGGCAGGCGGATTGCTCAAGGTCAGGAGTTCGAAACCAGCCTGAGCAAGAGCGAGACCCCGTCTCTACTATAAGAAAGAAATTAACATTGGCCAATACTATATATATAGAAAAAATTAGCCGGGCATGGTGGTGCGCCATGCCTGTAGTCCAGCTACTCGGGAGCTGAGGCAGGCAGAATCGCTTGAGCCCAGGAGTTTGAGTTGCTGTGAGCTAGGCTGACGGCCACGGCACTCACTCTAGCCTGGGCAACAAGTGAGACTCTGCTCAAAAAAAAAAAAAAAAAAAAAAAAGAAGTAAACCATGAGCATAGCAGCCTTCAATTTAGCCCTTATGGTTTACTAATATTCAAATTGTGCCAATCAATCAGGAAGGATTATCTCATTGAAAATTATTCTTTGGTATTTTTAATAATTAATTTTAATAGTAAAAGTATAAAAGATGAACAAAAATGTATTAACAAAAGGATTTTTTTCTGTAAAAATTGGATTCGGGGGGGGGGGAAGGGCATTTATTGAAACCTTAAAATCTATACCCTCATAATATGCCAAAGAAAAAAAAAATTGGATTCAGTCAAAAGGCTGCACTTAAGGACCTGGGCCACATGCGCGCTTAAGGCTACCTTAAGTTTCCCCACCCCTGGTCAGACTGATCACCCTGGCATTCAGTGATTCTTTCTTTGGAATCCCAGCTGGCCCCATTTTGGGATGGTTTGGGGCATTCCCTTGTGGGAACTCCCTTACCCATTTACTCAACGAGCATCAGCCATGTGCCTTCCCACGGAGGCACCAGGATGAGCCACGAGCATTTGTCTAGCTTCAGGAAGACACATCCCATGTCCCACGGGGGACAGGCGCATGGTGTACCCAATCCAGAGGGAGGTTGGCAGGAAGTGAGGAAGCAGCGGGCCCCAGTCCAGGACCATTCTGAGGCTCTGGCCCAGCAGTTTGACAACATGGCACACAACTGTCAACAGGAGGAGCAGGCTGGTGGGGAAGGGCAGGTCAGTTTTGACCGTTAGTACAATGAGCCATCGAGGGGTCACAGGGTGGAAGCTGCATGGCCTAGGGCCCAGGGCAGAGGGGTTGAGGTAGGGATCAGTGTGGACTGTGGCCCCGGAGGGCGGAGGTCAGGGAGGCTTCATGTGGGACACTTGCAGGGCAGTGCAGGCTGCACACACTCCCTGGGCAAGACCAGAAAGCGCATGGCACCAGTGAGGTCAGACGCTGCGGAGTCACAGGAACAAGTGTGGGGGAGGGGCGTCCCTGTGCAGGATCTGCCCGGTGGAGCTGAAGAGGGCAGAGAAGAAAGAAGGCCAAGAACAGAGCTCGCAGCCAAGCCGAGGGCCTGCAAGGCGGGGCTCTGCCCAGCTGCCTTCAGCCACAAGTCAATCCTTGCAGGGTGACCCCAGATAGATGGCACACCCACCTCCCCCATTGTCCTGGAACACTACCCACCGACACAGTCTCGGACTCTCCAGGACACAGCCTGAGAGCCAGGGCCCAGAAACGCAGCGGACACGGCCCAGGATGGGGAAAAAAAGCAGCCCCAGAGCACAGAGTGTGACAAGGCAGAGACCAGGAGCAGGCCCGGGGCCCCTCAGGATGGGGAGGGAGCGCATCCTTGCGCCCTGCAGGTCCTGAGCCTGGGTCTGGTGTACAGGTGTGGAACGTGCCCTCCCGTGTCTGGGAATCAACCCCTGGGCCAATGCAGCAGGGTGTGCGGATCTGCCCTGGCTGCACCCTCAGTGCTCTACAGACGCCATTGGGAGTCAGGGACAACCAGGGCTGGCTGCTCCCCTGGGAGCCCTCAGCGGGGTGGGACCTTCCTCCCTGGGGCTGCCTGGCTGAGGATGGTATCTGGGTCCTCATCACTGCCTCAAGAGCCGCTGTGCTGTCAGGAAATCTGTAACCTGGGTGCCTCTGAGATGCGGGAGTCTGAGGTGTCTCCTGCCCAGCTGTCCATGTGTTCCACAGCCCTGTCCCAAACCCACAGGTTTGACCTAAACCAATCCTGAAGCCTGTGTGTGTCTGAGCCAATGTTTTTCAGGGAGGCAAGCTGCATACCAAGATGCAAGACACAGATTTAAAGCAGGGCCTTCCAAAAAGTGTGATTTAACAACAGATGCCCTCCAGTCCTAGCAAGTCCCCAAGACAACTCCAGCCATGGTCACTTCTTGGTCCTGGTCCAGAACTGCCGGTAGCGCTCGGCGTCAAAGTCATCACTGGGCTCCGGCTCATACTCCTTCCGGGGCTGGAGCTGAGCCTCTCGCTTCCGTAGCCTGGCCCGGCGTTCCTCAGGGGACAGGGTGTCCAGGTCTACGGGCATCTGTGGGGGAAGCCAAATGCATCCATGTGGCTCGGGGCCTTGAGAACTACTGAGACGCCACCCTGGGTCTTCCTCTAGACTGTGTCTCCTACCCTAAGCTAGCTTCATTTTTATATGTTCTGTTGGTCTTTCTCTCCCTTCAGAGCTTTCATTCTTTAAAAGAAAGTATTTTTCTGCTCATTTTCCCCAAATTTGATATATTATTAAAAACAAACAACTCATTAATTTTATCTGAGCCTGGTGCTTAGAATGGGTTCTGGGCCTCAACCCTCCCCCTCTCCTCCTACAACCGAGTCCCCTCCCCCTGCAGCCACCTGTCCATCCCAAGCCACCTGGCCGCCATCCCAGCCAGGCATTAGGGAGCGCCGGTGCCTGAAGCTTACCGCCAGCATGCGCCGGGGCTCCCTGTAGCGGATGTGGATGGTGGAGCCGTCCTGCTTGACCAGGAGCACTGGGTAGAGGCGCGCGTAGGCCTGGCGGCGCAGGCGAGTGAGCGAGGCCCTGCTGCTGTCGGCGCACCAGGAGGACGTGTGCAGGCGACAGCGTGCAGGACCAGCTGCCTTCGCGGCATTCTGCCTCAGCAGGCTGCACATAAACATGCACACGCGGTCAGCGCATGGTTCTGGGGCAGAGATGGGTCACGGCCAGGCCTCAGGAGACACTAGTTGGTGATCCTCGCCAGGGGCAGGATGTGGGGGGAGGGGGGCTCCCTGAGGAGCCACAGGTGTGGTCGGAGCAGCTCTAGCCCCAGAGCCAGGATGATGCTGGTAGGTGTCAACAAGGGCACAGTTTCCCAGCACTGAGGACAGAGGACAAGAGCCAGGACCAGGCAAGGTTAGAACAGCCCTCTACTGATGATGAGAGGAGGGTTCCCTGAGGTGGCCCCTGACAATAATCCCAAGGGGCCTGGAAGAACATGCTTACCCAAGCAGGCCGCCCACGGCCGCCATTCCTCCTCAGAGCCCCAGTGCCACGTGGAGGTGGTCAGTCACAGGCTCTGATGCGCGACCTGCTAGGCAAAGAAAGAAGACATCTTTTATAAGGGAAGGTTCCTCCACCTACTCGGTCCTCACCAAATCCCAGCCTGGAATGAAGCCACAGACCCCAGTCCGTCTCCAACACGCACGAAATCACCGGGTCGCTTTCTGGCCTCTCCCAGTAACCCTCTGGCCTTCTCAGATTAGAGTCGCCTGGGGAGGTTTTTCCGAAACCCGCCGGGGCCCTACTCCCAGAGAGTCTTCGTCAGTCTGCGGCAGAGCCTGGGCCGCCCGTTCTGGTGGGTTCCCGAGTCAGGGAACCGGGTCTGAACGGAGTGCAGCGTAAACTGCAGAGCTCGGCTCTACTCATACTCTGCTTTCTAAAGTCGTGGCGAGTTTTCACAAGAACCGGGTGAGGTGAGGATTATCAAACCTGTGCTCGGAAGGGGAGCGGAGGCCCAGGCCGCCCGGCTACGCCCCCGATTCCCAGGCGAGCCCGTGCTGAGGTATTGGCGTGAAAGCCACGCGTTCCCGATACTCAGACTCCAGGAAATAAGGCTGCGGGGTGGCCAGGAGCAAGGGTTCCCTGAGCAAGGAGGGGACCGAAGGGAGGGGCTCTGCTGCCTCTAAAATGGAAATCGCGCTCAGCGGCCTGCGCTCGCGCCCTCCTTCCCCTCGCCCTCACCGAGTCAGACGCCAGGGCCTGCCCGGGCTGGGTCGGGGGCACAGGCTCTGCCGCTCCCGCCGCCGTGCAGGGCCCCGGGACAGGTGCACCCGCGTCCCCTTCCCCGACCCCGCTCGCACGAGGCGCCAACCTGCCGCCGCCACCGCAGCTGCGCAGGAGCCCCGAGGACCGGCAGTCCGGGTCCCCACCGGCAGGCGGGAAACTGAAGGCCGCGACGGGAACACGCACGGGGTCACGATCCCGTCGGGCGGCGCTGGTCCTCCAGTCGCACAGGTTACGTCAGCCGTCCGCGCTGCGTCGCGCGGCGGTGACGCACCCACCGGGCGGAGCCAGGCCTGGTGGGCGGGGCTTCTGCGGCTAGGAGGTATGACCTCCCCCACCATTGGGGCGCGGCAGTGGGGTGCACCCCCCTGGAGGCGTGGCCAGGCCTGGTGGGCGGGGCTGCGTAGTACTGGGACGGAGGCGGGGCCGGCGCGTCTGCGACCTTAGTCGCTGCTGGGCGGGCCTTGGAGAGGCGGGAGGGGGCCGAGGGGAGACCCGGGGGTGCCGGGGTGGGGGAGGCTGGGGTAGGAGCCGGGGAGGCCCCAGGGAGGTCGGAGGGTTGGGGGAAGCGGAGGGAGGACCTAGGGGGGCTGAGGGAAGACTTGTGGGGAGGCCAAGGCAGGTGGGGAGGCTGGGGAGAGGACGAGGCAGGGCCCCGGGAGCCGAGGGAGGAGTTAGCGACAACGGAGTGGAGTCATTTATGCCACAACCTAACGAAAATGGTACGGGGTAAGGTCTCAGAGAAGCAGCTCCCACACTTGCATTCCTGAAATCCCTGCAGTCTCCCAGGCACCTTGGAAACAGCTGATCCCAGGAATTGCCCCCGGGCCTGCAGTGGTTCAGATAGGACACTTGAGGCCTCTCCACCTCAGCAAGGCCAGCTGTGTGAGGAGGGTCTGAGATGAGTGCTGCTTGTTCTTGTGCAAGTAGCAGGTATCCGGATGAAATCAGACCCAGACAAAATAGAGGGGGGGAAGGCGGGAGGGAGAGGAGGTTCCTGGTTACTTGTGTGAGATAAGAACTTTGTAGGACTTTCTAAAAGCCCCACAAGAAGCCTTTTTGCGTTCTTCTCATCACTAGACATGCTTTTAGGACTGCAGTAATTAGATAAGATGCTCTGAGAGAACACTTGCCCAGTACTGGCATCTCCACCTATGAACTGACGACCATGCTGGCTTTGAGCCCCTGGAACCAATGCACTCCGTTTCTATGCACCTTTCTTAGAAACAGACTTCTCCCCACACACCAAGCAAGCAATCAGTTTTGCAGCAGACACCAGCTGGGTATGCTGTAATTCAGCTCAATCCTGGCACTGCTTACCTGAATGCCAGTCTGAAGTGGTTTACTTGTGTTTTTGACCAACTGGTTATAAATCAGGTGTCCCACGACCCTTCCTTGGGTTTAATTAATTTGCTAGAGCAGCTCACAGAATTCAGAGAATGCTTCCTGGCTTATCATGAAGGATATCACAAAGGACACAGATGAAGAGATGTATAGGGCAGGGTGTAGGGGACAGGGCACAGAGCTCCCATGCCCTCCGGGAACCTCCACATGTTCAGCATCTGGAAGCTCTCCAAACCCTGTCCTTTTGGGTTTTTGTGGAGGCTTCATTATGTAGGCATGATTGATTAAATTGTCATTGGAAAAGAAACAAAACTCTGTAAAATAAGTTAAAGAGGTTTATTCTGAGTCAAATTTGAGGACCATGCCCAAAGCCACACTCAAGAAGCCTTAAGCAAGTGGACTCTCTGTGGCTGGGTTACAGTTTGTCTTTTTTTTTTTTTTTTTTTTGTTTTGAACAGAATCTCACTCTGTGCCGAGCTAGAGAGTGCCGCCGGGTGTTCTGCCTAGGCTCAGCAGGGCAACTCAGGCTACTTCCTGGGCTCAGCACTTATATTCTTTCTGGCCTCAGCCTCCCCAGTAGCTGGGACTACAGGCATGCGCCACCAGGCTCAGCTAATTTTTTCTATCTATTTTAGTTGGCCAATTAATTTCTTTCTATTTTTAGTAGAGATGAGGTCTCACTCTCACTCTCGGTCAGGCTGCCGCTTTCGCAACCTCCTGAGCTCACAACGATCTGCCCCACCTCGGCGCCTCCCAAAGTGCCTAGCGATATCAACAGCATCTGAGCCCACCATGACCTCGGCATTACCACGTTTTTGGTTTCATACCCCCAGTTCAGGAGACAGCGAATACAGCAAAGTATCCCCCCCAATAATAGAAAGTAAGTTGATGGCCCCAAACACGGGTGGAACGATCTCAAACGCCATTGCGACGCTTACTCATGCTTTGAGATGTTATGGCGCCTGCCATCTTAAAGCACCTGCGTTGCACTTCGATCGCGGGCGCGGTAGATTGCGCCCTGTAACATAAGCATGAAGCCTTAGTGTGTACTCTAAGCTTACGAACCGCTCTTTAGGTTGGGAAGCGCTCGGGCTAATCAGAGACCTAGCCCACCAGACATATTCCCAGTCTCTGATTTGTTATGTGAAATGAGGACCTGTAGGTGTGTCTTGCACCACCTTAGGCGTGTCTATGAGTTGCAAAGGATGTGTCCAAGAAGGGAGGGGCATGATGAGGCATGTGGGACATCCCTCTCATGGCCAGCAACTCAGTTTTAGGGTATCTTCTTGGCCAAGAAGGGTCCATTCAGTCAGCCAGTGGAGGGAACCTTAAGATTTTATTTTAGTTCACAAAATCAACTCAATCTTCAGCCCCTCGTTCCTACGCTCTCCACAGGGCGTCGGGGGACTGCGCGATGAAAGTCCCAACCCTCTAATGCCACCTTCGTCTTTCTTTTCTTTTTGAGACAGAGTCTCGCTTTGTTGCCCAGGCTAGCAGTACAGTGCCTGTGGCCGTCAGCCTAGTTCACAGCCAACCTCCCCATCCACTACAGCCATGTGCCCACCCATGCCCCGGCTAATTTTTCTATATATAATAGTTGGGCCCACATTAATTCTCTTTCTATTTTTAGGTAGAGCATGGTGTCCTTGCTCTCTAGCTCAGGCCAGTTTTGAACTCCTAACCTCGAGCGATCCGCCTGCCTCGGCCTCCCAGAGTGCTAGGATTACAGGCGTGAGCCACTGCACCCAGCCCCGCCTTGGTCTTTCCATGGCCAGCCCCATCTAGCAGCTATACAGGGGCTGCTAGCCACCCTACAACTCATTATCATACAGAAAGATGACACTTTTGAGATTCCAAGTGTAACAGAGGGAATGGCCTGAGAAAAACAGCAAAAATATTTCTTTCCTTCTTCTCAAACCACTTGTTCTTCTGATGAGACAAGGGCCGAGGTAGCTCTAGGGTTTGAAGAGTGGTATGCTAGCTAGGTTAGGGTGGGTGTGGGGACCAGGAGGAAACTTCCTGTTCTGCCCTCTGAAGGTTCACTGAAAATCAACTGACAAAAGGCAGATTAAACCACCTCTCCAATTGATAAAGGGGTGCAAGGTAAGATCTGTGGTAAGGGGCTAGCTAAAAATAAGGCATGGGCATAGTTAAAAATAATGATAAAAATTACCCACGTCCCCGGTTCGCTTCTCTATAAATTGCCACTCTGGTGGCCACATAGCTGGTGGCCATAAAGATTCTTCGCTTTCTGCGTAGATAATATCACCTTTTGAAACCAAGGGGTAGTTTCTGAGATATCTTCCAGGTCCACGTTCCAGTGGAATTGCCGACCCACCCAGACCAGTGGCCCATGATAAGGAACCAAATCAACTGGTCTTGTGACCCCACCCAAGAACCCGGTCAGCAAAGAAGACAATTGCTACACCCCTGTGGTTCCAACTGAACCTAGCCAATTAGCAGACTCAGGGGGACGAAAATTTGAGAAATTCCTCCGGTCTCCCTACTTAGCACTATTTGGAATTAAAAACTCTCTATGGTAAACCCTGCTGTCTCAGTGTTTTGGCATCTTCTTGGGCAGTGGGCAAATAAACCTGGTTGGGCAGCAACAGTAGGAGAAATGTGCTGGGCCCACTGGCTCACACCTGTCATCCTAGCACTCTGGGAAGCTGAGGTGGGAGGATTGAGAGTCGCTTCAGGGCAGGAGTTTGAGACCAACCTAAGCAAGAGCAAGACCCTGTCTCTGCAAAAAAATAGAAAACTTAGCCAGGTGTGATGACACACATCTGCAGCCCCAACTACCTGGGAGGCTGAGACAGGAGGATCGCTTGAGCCCAGGAATTGGAGGTTGGAGTGAGCTATGATGGCACCACTGCACTCTAGTCCAGGTGAAAGAGCAAGACCCTGCCTCAAAAAAAAAAAAAAAAAAAAAAGAAGAAAAGAAAAACCCACATGGAATGGAGAACCATGTATATCCCACAGTTAGTAAAGGGGTCCATCAGCCTGTACCACGAAGGATACCAATAAAAAGAAAATTACCAAAATCCTCAATTGCCAGTTGTGACAGATGAAAGCCCCCAAACAAAATCCTTCTGGCCCCTGCGTTACTGCAAATAAACCCCAGACACTGAGAGAGAGATTGCTATAAATTAAAGAGAGCTAAACGACCCCGCCCTCAAAACCCTCCCAGTATATATTCCCCAAAATGGGACCCCCCAAAATTGCAAGGGTTCTCCACATCCTTCCCTCAATCCTCTTGGGAAAATAACTCTTAAGATTGGGAACGAGGTCCTACCTGTCCTTACAGAGCTGGAGCCACACTCTCAGTGCTTGACACCACTGACCTCAACCGTCTCCTATGGTTAAGTGAGAAGAGAGGAAGTCTCCAACAAACCACAGAATGTCTTTGTGCAACCTGTCCCCTCCCACCTCAGTCCCCTACAGGATGCCCACTCCTTTTTACTTAGTAATTAAGCCCTTGTCCACCTTCTTGGCTGACACGTTTTGGAAAAATATCATGCAGGAATTTCTTTGTCCCAAAAGGGGGAAATAATTTTGGAATTTGACTAACTGGGTTGAATTGACTCTATCCTAGAGGGGTGGAGCCATAGGCGTAGGGAGGCCCCCTGGGGAAAGAGGCCACAACAACAAGACAGGGAATGGCACAGTATTACCAGACTACAAGCAATAGCTCCTAAAACTAAGAGGGTCCAACGTCAGGATGACGAGAGGAGTCCCACCATTGTTGTAACGGGTCTCCAGTTAACTGTCGGATGGCTTGTACCTCGCCGACGACGTCTTTCGATGCGGAGGAGAGATCTTCCTGGTGATGGGGCACACACGCACGACATGCAGTGTGGACCACTGTGGATGTGCCTCCTTGAGCTGAAGTGAAGAGACCAAGGGCCATGCGGTTTTGCAAAACCACCTTTCTCATCTGGGTGACTTCGTCCATCCAGAGGGCCAAGGCCTGCTGGGTTTGGTCTCAGCCGAGCAGTATGCTCCGCTAGGGCATTCACTTGTGTCTCTACCTCAGTGGCTCCACCCCCAGGGAAAAGGACAGCTACCAGGTAGAACCACCACGGAGTCTGCTTTGCCCAATGCCAACGGGAGGACGTGACATCCCAATTATGTGGTTTCTTGGTAAAGCTGGGGAGGACCTTCTGGGATGTATGGCCGTCCCCAAGGGCACCTCCCTGTCCAATGGGAAGGGAGATAGGGCCACCCTTATCTTCCACATACCCACAGAAATCCTGGGGGAACCCTCTCGGTGGGGACAGTCTCCACCAAAGGCTTTCCATTCCACCGGTGGATGACATTACCATTCTGAGTAATGTTTGTACAGGATTTCTTCAGGATCCACCCACAGTGTGATTCCCCAGTCCCATTTCCTGTTCTATACATAAGAGGGCCACTTGGCGTAGTTCTACTTATCCCCCTAATAACCAACCCCGACTGTTCCAAATGGCATGTCCCACACTGGGGCGTGGATGCAGCGTGTGGTGGTCTCGTCCCGGGTGCTTTTCGGCTGCCACTTGAGTGGAGGTGTAATCAGTGTCCTGAGGCCCCCGTGTGGCCAGGAAAGCACAATTTTGTAGAGAAGCAGGGGTGATGCTCCGGCGTAGGCTGCGGCAGTTTCTACCAGGAGCTCCGTGCAGACCCGGCAGCGGCAGCGAGAGATGTTCGAGACTTGAGCATGAGCGTGGGCGCCGGCGGCCACGCTGTCCTTCAGGCAGCACACGGGCTGCCTGTCATCTTGGGATAGGATTACAACTGGAATTGCCTTTTGTCCCGGGCGATGGTACCACACAGTTTCGCCCACGACAGGTTTGGCAGTTTCGGGTGCTAAAACGAGGGGAACCCAGGGAATTACCCAAAGGGCAAGGAGTATAGTGCCCGTGAGGAGGGTGCCCCTTCAATGGTGGCCCGCCGTTACCAACACAGATCGCTGCCCAGGGGAAAGCTCGGCATGTGATACGTTCAAAAGGTTCTATAACCATCCACCCCTGGGGCTGACAGGCCGATCCACCGGGGTTCAGGGCCCATGATGTTCCAAGACCATGTCCAGGTTCTCGGCCCTCCTTCCTTGAGGGCAGTTGGGGCTGGAAGCAGAACAGTTCCGTCCTGGGTTACCCAGGGTCACATCAAAGGGTCCTTGGCCACACCTGCCAGTCAGAGGGGATTGGTCTGCTTGTAGGTTAAATAGTCTAAAAGGGCAGGCCCACTCTTTTGGGGCTGCTTATTTAGCGCCTGAACAGCCTGACCCAAGCTCCGCGTCCAGTGCCGGGGAGATGGGGGGAAGGTCCCGCGTTTAGCTTCCCCTGCAACAAACCATTGTATCACTCTATCGTAATAGCGGCCGGAGGCTGGCAGGGCACGCTGTTGAACCCCATGTCCCATAAAATAACTACCCTGATCATTTTCTACAGTGAGGGGCCGCCCATATAGACAGGTTAAGTGTTCCAGTACCTTCATGGGGGATGTTTGGTCAGCCTGGGAGGCCGGTAGCAGTATCAACCGCTGTGAAGGCCTACGCTGCCATGTGGGGCCAAGGTAGAGGGCCCACATAATCAACCTGCCCTGTCTACAAAGGATGGTCTCCCTGCCGGACATGTCCAGGGACAGGGGAGAGGCACCTACGGCGCAGATACGGTTGCCACATGCCTCACATTGGCGACAAGTTGTCCACAAATCTGCCATAGGTATGTGTAGATTCTATTTCTGGTTCACTTGAGCCATAGTTTTTGGGTTTTTTTTTTTTTTATGGTAAAAATATGCTCATTTTTTTTACATTTCAGCATATTATGGGGGAACAAATGTTAAGGTTACATATATTGTCCATGCTCCCCTCCCCCCTGAGCCATAGTTTTTATACCGGTGTGGCCCAGATGGCGATGTAACCACAGGCCCTTATCAGCCAGCAAGGGTGACCTGATCCATTGCACCTTTGCCAGTGTATCAGCCTTATCATTGCCAGGGCTGATTACAGGTCTGTGTCCTGAAACATGATACACCCAGACCTCCTTCTGGTGTCCTTACTGCAGCAAGTCCTCCCACACTGCCTGTCCCCATGCCAGGCGGTGCCCTCTTAGCCAACCTTGGGCTTTCATGTAGGTAACCAGACAGTGAGGTCCTTAAAACCAGCCCAACTGCTGGGCGTGGTGGCTCACGCCTGTAATCCTAGCACTCTGGGAGGCCCAGGCGGGTGGATTGCTCAAGGTCAGGAGTTCGAAACCAGCTGAGCAAGAGCAAGACCATCTCTACTATAAATAGAAGAAATTAATTGGCCAACTAATATATATACAAAAATTAGCCGGGCATGGTGGCACATGCCTGTAGCCCCCAGCTACTCGGGAGGCTGAGGAGAAGGATTCTTGAGCCCAGGAGTTTGAGGTTGCGTGAGGCTAGGCTGACACCACGGCACTCACTCTAGCCAGGGCAACAGAGTGAGACTCTGTCAAAAAAAAAAAAAAAAAACAGCCCAACAATCAGTGCAGACATGAAAAGGGGACCGCACGCAATTTAGCCCATTGGCTGCTCTGTCCGTCCCATTTCAAACCAAATTTCATCATGATTCACCTGGATGGCCACCGCCATCCACTGGGGTGAGGGGCCAAGACTGGCCCATAAATATACCACGCCTCTGCTGGAGGGGCACCCTGTCTTTCAAGGTAAGCGCTCTCCTCCCCCAGCATTACCGTGGTCTGAGGGTCGGCATGGGGCAGAAATTCAACAGAGCCCAATACTGTCTGCAACTCTGCAGTTAAAGGGCTGGAACTAAACTCTGCTCCTTGCTCCAAGTAAGCTCCCCACTTCACCAGAATAGGTGTCTGGGCTGCCCCTGATCCTGGTCTGGTTATCCATGACCTCACCCATCCTGCTATGGGGTAGTGGTGTGCACTAGCACCTTGGGCTGCCCAGTTATAGCTTCACAGGCCTGAAGGGCAGCATACACAGCGGCCAACTGCTTTTCCACCAGGGAATAGCGCTCTTGGGAGCCCTTCCAACTCTGCACCGACTCTTCCAAGGCCTGCAAGGCCTTTTCCACGGAGCCAGGCGTACACTCCACCGGCTCCCACTCCATGTCGGGGGCTCACGACCTGAGGACCGCTGCTACACTGGGTCACAAGCCCGTGGAAGGCCAAATATCCTCCTCTACTGGGGCAGAAGGGACACTTACCCTAGTTGAATCCTGCCGACTCCACCAAATGTGGGGCGGGAGTTCCCCGGCCAGTGAGGGTACCTGGGAGGGTTTCGGGAAGTGAAAGAAGAAACGACCAGCAGCAGGTACGTGATACCTACTCTTTATTGTCCGGATGATGCCGCTGCGCCGAGAACATGCCGAGCACTCATATATGGCTCGGAACAATAGCGGCAACATGCCCAAGCGAGGGGGTGACCACACGGGTCTTACATAAGAGGTGGCACAGTTACACAGGTGTGCTGACTCACGCCATACTGCGAGGCCGGCGAAAGACACACCGGCAGTCATCGTGGTTCGGCCTAAGAAACGAATGGGTTTCTCGTCACACCTCCAGAGAGTGTTACTGAGGACTCGGCCTCTCTGTCGCTCAGTTCAGGCTGACAGACGTGCTCCCGCGGGTCGGGGCGGGCCGGGTGCCGACCCACGTCGCCACGGCCGTAGGCGGGTTGCTGGGCGCGGCAGTGGCGAGCGGGCGGGGGCGGGGCCTGCGATGGACGCGATTGCGGGCAGGCTGCCGCGCTCTGTGACAGTAATCCCTGCAGGCGAGGCAGGCCGGCGCTGCAATGACGAAAGGCTCCGCAGATGGAGGCGGGGCCGGCGCGGCGCTGCGGTGCTTCCTTGCCGGGTGGGGCGAGACCAGCGTGGGCGGGCGGCGCTGACGTCACTTTTGCGCGCGAGAGTAGGTAAGTTGGCGCAGTGCTGTGATCTATGTCCCTGCAGACGCAGGCGGGGCTGACGGGCTCTGAAGTGCTTCCCTGCCCGGTGGGGAAGCCACCGGCGCGGCGTGACGTCAGCTTCGCGCGCGGGTAGAGGCGGCCGGCGCGCTCTATGACGTAATCCGCTGCACACGGAGGCGGGGCTGGCGGAGTTCTGAGGTACCTCCCTGCGGGGTGGGGTCGGATCTCCGTGACGTCAATTTTTTGCGCGGTGGGTGCGACCGGCGCGCTCCGTGACATCTCCGGTGGGCGGTGGCGGCCCCCGATGCTGCGGCGCCCCCTGGCCGGGCTGGCCGTTGCCGCCCTGGGCCGGGCTCCCCCGGACGGTGAGTCGGGCACGGCCGTGGCGGAGGGTGACTCGGGGCAGCGGTGTCAGCGGCCGCCCCTGCGCTCCGCGTGCGCCGCCATCGGAGCCTCCGTGCAGTCCCCAGGACGCTGGGGAAGTTCGGGCAGGCTGGGCGCCTGCCCGCAGGGGATCCCCGGGGTGGAAGCCGGAGGACTTCAGGCTGGTGCCTGCTGGGCAGCCCAGGAAGGGGCCTGGACCCCCGGCGGCGCCTCGCCGCAGAGCCGCAGCCCTGGCCCACCCCCGAGGAGCCTGGCCGGTTGGCGTCCCCACAGTTTCAAGCGGCTCGCCGAGTGTGTAGGACCGCGCAGTGTCCTCCCCGAGCTCAGGACTGGCCGGCAGAGAACAGCCTGGAAGCCTTCCGAGTGGGCGGCGGCTTGCTGTGGGTTTCGGTCCCCACCCCACCTTGCAAACCCGCCGGATGGAGCGGGCTGGTGGGGGCTCCCGGGATTGCTGCTGGCGGATTCCTTGCCTGTGCCGCTGCTCAGCAGAGAGTAGGGGATTTGGGAACTGCAGATGGTTGGTGCGGACCTTCCTACACATGGTGTGGTGTGGCAGTTGGGCTTCGGCTTCTCTCAAGACCAGAGAGTCCGAGTCTGGCTTCCTGAAGCGGCCTGTCTGCCATTGCTAAGCGTCGCCTTAGGAGCGGTTGGAGCTTGTGGGGCAACAGGGTGTGGGGGAGCTAGCTCCTCCAGGTGTTGGCTTGGGCAGGAGCAGGTGAAGTGCACCACGGATGGAAGGCAGGGTAGGTCCCCTGGGAGGGTCTTTGGGCAGCACCTCTGCCCGAATCTGGGCTTTTCTGACTTTTTCTGTTGCTCTTACACTTCTCAGACCACAATTTGCTGTGAGGGACCCAGGAAAATCTTCTTTTTCAGCACCCAGAAAGGACAGGGTTAGAGAGAGATATGAAACTTATGTGGTTTCCTGTTTCAGCTGCTGACAAGCAGAATCCCTTGCTAGGTGAGCCCCTCTCCGCTCCTATGCCGGCCTGCCTACGCTGGCTGCTCTCACACTGGTTGAGTGCCACATGAACCACTGGTGGAGCTTGCCTGGCATGGCCACGTGTTGGCCCAGCCCTTGGTCCCTGGCTGGAACAGCCAGCAGTTTCCTGGAGTAGCAGATTTTGAAAGTTGTAAATGAGAACATAGTACATTTCAACCACACTCAAACTCTCTCCTCACTCTGTTTTGGTGGTTTATTGGAGAGTCGAGATAGTTTGAGGAAGAGCAGGAAGGACAGGATGGAGGAAAGGTGACCTCAGGCCCCAAGGAAGTGTGTGAGGGTGTGTCCAGGAAGGGCTGGTGTAGGAGGCAGGCACCTCCAGGTCAACTCTGCCCTTGCCTGTGCTGGGCCTGGGTCTCCCCTCTGCATGAGAAAGAGGCTGGCCAACCCTGCGGGGTCCTGGGTTCCTTCCTGCCCTGTCATCCTTGGGCTCAGGATCCTGTTCTGTCTCAGGCTCGCTCTTCCCTTTGCCTGAGGTTTCTATCGAGGACCCCATGCAAGAGTCAGCCCGTTTGTCTTTCTCCTTGATGGCAAGAGACCCAGACTCGGCTGCACAGGGTGGTGAAGGTCCTGAGCCCTCATGTGTCTGGGGCTTCTGGCCCTTGGCTCTGCTGGGGTCCAACTTGTGGAGGAACGTTCCTGTCCTACCATGGAGAGAGGAAGTGAAAGTGAAAATGCCCTTGGCTGCTCCCGGTATTGTCTCCCATAGAAGGAGGCTCTGGGAGGCTAGGTGGTCTCAGGGTGACGTGGTTAGGATGTGTCCCACCTGGACATGTGCCCACAGCTCCCATAGGCAAGAGTGGGGTGGGCATCCTGCCTTGCACTGCCTCGTGGGGCACCACCAGCCTTCCCTTTGTCAAGCCAGCCCCAGCTCGGAGCCCAAGTCATCGTGGCTTGTGTCTTACAGGGGGCTGGAGGGGGCCGGCTTCTCCTTTGTGTTCTGGGAAGGGTCTCGCCCTCTCCATTAGTGTCTCCTGGAGCGGGAGCTCGTGGTGACCGTATCCAGTCCTTGAGGCAGGCGAGGCCATGGGGGCGGGAGGTGGAAGCCAGAAGGAGAGGATTCCACCTCCACGGGGAAAGCTGCTGCCTGGGGCTCTGTGGGGGCCCAGCCCAGGGAGTCTCCAGCAGGGTTCTCAACTCCCAGGAGACCTTCCTGTAGGAGTTGCTTTTGTGGCAGATCTTTCTCACAGTTCCCATGGGGTTTTTGGCTTCTTGACAGGCAGACGGGGTTTGGGACTGGAACAGTGAGAGGAGAGGACACAGGATACAGTTGGCCACAGGGCTTCCATCTCCCCAGAGGAAGAACACCTGGCCTGTGTGTTCCCCTCAGGGCAAAAGCCAGGCTCAGTGTTTCCATCCCACTCGAGGGTCACCAGGGCCATGAGGCCTGGGGCCACAGCCCTGCTGGATGTGCACCTGTGGGAAGGTGGCTTTGATGACTGCCCTGTCACTGTGGTCCCTCCCTAGGCAGGCAGCCCTGTGCCTTGGTCTCTCTGGTGTGGGTGTGGGTGTGCTCCACAGGGCCATGCCACCCTGGCAGAGCCAGCACCCACTTCTGTGTGCCACAGCACCCTCCGCTGGCCAGGGCCCTGGTGTGGTCTGTGTCCCGTGCCCTCACACTTGGGCAGAGCTGACCTCAGGGCATCCAGGCAGGGTTCTTGGTGATCTATGTGCTCCATGGGTGGGGGAGGCACTGAGGAAGAGGCTCGGGAGCCTGGGCTTGAGAGGGGTGAGGTGGCCAGGACGCCTCTGTGGGTGGGACGGGCTGTGGTTTGGGTGTTGGGTGACAGGTGTCTGCTGTGTGCCGGCTCTGTGTGAGCCCTTTCTTCTGTGAGTTCCTTTGATTAAGGCCACAACCCCATGGCGAATGGTGCACCTGCTGCTCATGAACCTGGCAGGTGGGTGCAGGGACCTCAGAGCCTGTTGGAGGCAGGAGGCTGGTGGGGCGCTGCAGGTGGGTGTTTGGTGGGGAAGAGCACACAAGCCTGTGTTGCCAGTTCCGGCCGAACTGGCAACACAGGGGGGGGCACTGTCGGTGGGTTCGGGGGGCCTTGCTCTGGCCTGCACCCTCCCCAGCCTCCTCCTGGGATCCTTGTTGGCCTCACAACCCTGAGGAGAGTCCTGTTGGGCTCTCAGCTTAGTCACCCAAATGGCCTAACTGCTGAAGGCGCATGCCCATCAAAATCACCACGGCCCACTTCTGGGGTGAGCACCAGCTCTCGAGTCCTGTGGGGCTCTGGCCACAACCCCCTAGGGCACCCTGTCAGTTTGGGGCTGTGATGGGGTCTGCCGGGGTAGGGGGTGTCTCTAGGCTGGTCCATGGCCATAAGGAGGGGAACAGGGACCCAGGTTTGGAGCTGGTGGCCTCCACTTCCAATAGGATGCTGTGACCCAGCAACCATGGCCTTTGGTGCCTTGGTCTGGTGTCTGAGGAAAGGGTGGACACAGTCCTGCCTCCCTCCTGCTGAGATCACTGCAGTCCTGTCAGGGTCCCCGGGTCCAGCCCCAGTTCTCCTTGAGGATTTCGGGGGGATGGAGCAGATGGACAGAGCACAGGGAAGTGTCATGGCATTCCTGCTGGATGTGGGGGTCAGAGACTGGTCCCTCTCCAGGGGGCTCAGGGCCTGGAGACCAAGTGGTCAGAGACAGGGCAGTGCCCTGGGGACTCCCCCACACAGACCAGCTCAAAGTAGGTTGGACGTGAGGGACGTGGCCCCCGTGGAGGCCAGACAGATGCCAAGGAGAGCTGAGAGCCAAGCGGCTGCTGCACCTGGCCATGGTGTGGCCAAGTGACCTGGGGAAGAGCCAGCTCAGTGGGGTGGTGGGGACAAAAGTCACATAGGGTGCAGCCCTCAAGGTTATCTGTCTTAGTAACTCTCTGCATCGAGTTGTTCAGAGCACACAACCTAGCTCTGGTTTCTCTCTCTCAAAATGGTTTTCATGAGATCTTTGAGTCTTAATATCTGTAATTTCAGCAAATTAGGCAGTTGTGCAGCGATTGCTTAACGTGTCCCAAGAACTGTATGTTTAACAAAAAAAAGTCCTGTATTTTATCCTCTGGAGTAGCAGGAGCTCCAGACATTTACCTGGGTCCCACGGGTCATTTGATCTGGAAGGTTCTGGGGTTTCAAGGCTCATGTGTTGTGGGAACCAGGCTCTGGGAGGGATTTGCAGGGCTCTTGGGTTGAGAGGCGCAGAATGTGCTGAGACGGGGCCTCGAGTTCTGTGGGTGGGAAAGCCCTGTGGTTAGGCTGCAGTGACACGTTCTTGTGGTAGGAAGCCTCCCATAGGCCGGAAAGAACAAGTTTGTCACTTGTGGGAAGCACACGTACCTCTCAGTGAGTTCTGGGTTCTCTTCTTTTGGTGCGTTTTGAGCAGTGGGTCCCACTGTGCCTTATGAATGGCGTTTGTGACGTGTGCATTTGTAGGGCGTGCATACCTACGAGTGCAGCGTGTGCTCCATGCCCGTTGTACCTGGGTTTGGACTGTGCATGGCTTGTGCCTTGCGTGTGATGGAGCTGTGGTGGCGCTGCTTTCGTGAGATTACCTCAGTGGCCTAAATTGGGGATTAGGAAGGTAACCTCAGGCCTTCCCCGGCCATCAGCTTCTCTGCCCCCACCCTGCTGTGCCCCCCAGACAGCAGGAAGCTGTCCCAGGCGGTGCACCTCAGGTCCAAGGTGGAGCCCCTCCAAGCCCCCACCAAGCCACTGGTCAGCTCAAGTGGCTGGGCAGGTGCAGGTGTCGAGGGCGGGCCGGGTGCTGCCTTTTCCTTCCTGCAGAGCCCCAGCAAGGGGGGTTGGGGGCGGGGCCAGCTTCCCTGCTGGGGGATTTACTGCTCAGAAGGGCAGGCCAGCAGGCCCGGAGGGGATTAGGGACTCAACACCCTCAGCCCTCAGTCCAGCAGCCCAGACCTGCAGCTGGTCACAGGTAGGCTGTGTCCCTGGGGAGGGGGTGGTGGCCGCTGGGGAGGATCTACCAGGGAAGGAGGGCCTGTTTGGGCCAGGCTGCAGGGAGGCGGAGTGCAGAGCTGGGGTGCAGGAGTGGGCATGGGGAGGGGGGCAGGGGCGGTGCAGGAGTGGGGTGCAGGTGGGGTGGGGGCAGGCAGGCTGACGCCGGAACTCCTGTGGGAGTAGGAAGTGGCGCTCTCTGGGAGGTGCCAGCAGAGCCTGGGCAAGGAAGCCTGGGTCCTGGGTGTGCTCAGCTGCAATCTCCCGACCTGCCCCCACCCCTCGCTGGCCTCTCCGCACCCCCTCCTGGGAAGCTGTGGTCCGGTGCCATCTTCCCCTTCCCCTTCCAGGGTTGGGGGCTGGGATTGTGGCCCCCAACCCTGCTGGTAGCACGAGCATCACAGTCTGATGGAGAGTTCCCGGAATGGGCAACCTTGACAAGGCCACGCTTGCAGGGCAAGCGATGCCCAGGGACACAGGCAGGCGCAGGAACGCGTCCACCGCAGACCCTTAGTGCCCCAGGCGGCATACACATAGGAGCCAGGGTCCAGGCCCCCGTGGGGTGTGACTCAAGAGGACAGCATCCCCTGGCCACAGAGGCCTGGGGAGGCTGACAGGGTCAGTGGGGTGGCTCTGGAGATGGGTTGCCCTGTGAGGGCCTGGGACTGTCCCCTCCCCGGTGCTGAGTCTGCTCCCAGTGCATGCTATGTGGGGGCACGTTACCTCGGGACGCCCTCCATCACCTCCGCTGCTCCGTCCCTTCCCACAGAGCTGAGGGCCGCCGGGCCTGCTGACGTCTGCCCCTGCCCTGCCCAGGCATGTCCAGGCCCAGGCCCGTGGTGCTCAGCGGGCCCTCGGGGGCCGGGAAGAGCACGCTGCTGAAGAAGCTCTTCCAGGAGTATGGCAGCATCTTCGGGTTCAGCGTGTCCCGTAAGTCCTGGGGGCAAGGGAGAGAGGGCAGGTGAGTGAGGCGCTGCTGGGGCTGTCCCAGCACTGAGACCTGTCCTGGAGCCCCTCCCCCACACACATAGGCTGGGGGCTGTCCCAGCACCAAGACCTAATCCTGGAGCCCCCTCCCCCCCACACATAGGCTGGGGGCTGTCCCAGCACTGAGACCTGTCCTGGAGCCCCCCTCCCCCACACATAGGCTGGGGGCTGTCCCAGCACTGAGACCTGTCCTGCAGCCCCCCTCCCCCACACATAGGCTGGGGGCTGTCCCAGCACTGAGACCTGTCCTGGAGCCCCCTCCCCCACACACATAGGCTGGGGGCTGTCCCAGCACTGAGACCTGTCCTGGAGCCCCTCCCCCACACATAGGCTGGGGCTGTGCCCATGCCACTGGACGCTGCTCCCCTGGACCCCCTCCCCCCACACAGTAGGCTGGGGGCAGTCCCTGCACTGGAGACCTGCCCTGGAGCCCCTCCCCCACACAGTAGCTGGGGCGTGTCCCAGCACCGAAGACCCTGTCCCTGGAAGCCCCCTCTCCCCCACACACATAGGCTGGGGGCTGCTCCCAGCACCGAGACCTGTCCTGAGCCCCTCCCCCACACACATAGGCTGGGGCTGTCCCAGCACTGAGACTCTGTCAACTGCGAGCCCCTCCCCACCACATAAGGCTGGGGCTGTCCCAGCACTGAGACCTGTCCTGGAGCCCCCCCCACCACACTAGGCTGGGGCTGCCCTAGCACTGAGACCTGTCCTGGAGCCCCCCTCCCACACACATAGGCTGGGCTGTCCCCAGACTGAGACCTGTCTGGAGCCCCTCCCCCCACACATAGGCTGGGGCTGTCCCTGCACTGAGACCTGTCCTGAGCCCCTCCCCCCCACACATAGGCTGGGGCTGTCCCATGCACTGAGACCTGTCCCTGGAGCCCCCCTCCCCCCACACATAGGCTGGGGCTGCCCCAGCACTGAGACTGTCTGAGCCCTCCCCACACACATAGGCTGGGGGCTGTCCCTGCACTGAGACCTGTCCTGGAGCCCCCCTCCCCCCCACACATAGGCTGGGGGCTGTCCCTGCACTGAGACCTGTCCTGGAGCCCCTCCCCCACACATATAGGTTGGGGGCTGTCCCTGCACTGAGACCTGTCCTGGAGCCCCCCACATACACAGCCTGGGGGCTGTCCCTGCACTGAGACCTGTGCTGGCTGGGGGCTGTCCCTTTTTCATTACTCTCTGAGCCTCCTGTTTGTCCTCCTCTGGGCAGGGTCAGGGTTGGTGTCTGCACTCCCGGCGGGGACCCACTCTGGTCCCTGAGACTCCCTTCATCAGAGTGTGGTCTGTGCAGCCTCTTCTGTGTGGTCTTCGTGCTGAGTGGGCCGTCGGGGAGACCTGGGTGGGAAGGGGCAGGTGCCACACAGAGGGTGACGTGTGTCTTTCCCCAGATACCACGAGGGACCCGAGGCCTGGCGAGGAGAACGGCAAACGTGAGCTGGGCGGGTGTGCTCGGGCCTTGCACTCGGCCCGTGGGGGTGGCAGGGAGGTCTGTGGGACGCCCAGCTCCTGCAGCGGGGCTCAGCCTCCTGTTCCGTTAGCGGTCCCTGCCTCCCCTGTGGCACCCAGTGGTGTCTATTCCCCACCCCACGAGAACAGTGCGGGTGTGTGTGTCCCTTCCCAGCCCAGCCCCTGGGCCGCACTTGTGAGATCCTCACACCTCTGCTGCCCAGGCCGGTTCCAGCTGGAGCAGCCCTGGTGGGGAGGGAGGGTAGGGGTACCTGGGAAGAGAGCCGGTGCCGGCCCTGGCCGTGCTGGGCCCCCGGCGCCCCCCAGACAGTCCTTCCTTCCCTCCAGATTACTACTTCGTGACCAGGGAGGTGATGCAGCGGGACATCGCGGCGGGCGACTTCATTGAGCATGCCGAGTTCTCCGGGAACCTGTACGGCACGAGGTGGGCTGCACTCAGGGCTGGCCTGGGGTGGCTGTGAGCGTGGCCAGGCCTCGCCTGGGCCTGGGCTGGCAGGTCTGTGGCCCCCTGGCGACGCAGGCACGGGGCTTCAGGGCCTCTCCCTGGGTCGCTGAGCCCGGCTGGGGGCAGGCGGCCTGTTCACGCGGCCGTGCAGGGTTCTGGTGGAGTGAAGGGTGCGTGGCGCGCCTGGCATCGCCCAGTCTCCGCTGCCCAGCAGGCGGGGTGCAGCGCAGGGCGACCCCAGCAGGGTGGGCTCGGTGCTGCATGGCGAGCGGCGGGCGGGGTGCTCCTGAGGACCCCTCCCCTGACCCGTGCGCGTTCCCAGCAAGGCGGCCGTGCAGGCGGTGCAGGCCATGAACCGCATCTGCGTGCTGGACGTGGACCTGCAGGGCGTGCGCAACATCAAGAAGACCGACCTGCGGCCCCTCTACATCTCCGTGCAGCCGCCCTCGCTGGGCGTGCTGGTGAGCGCCCCCCGCGGGCGGGCTGGCAGGCGTGTGGGTGTGGGGGCGCGGGGCGTGGCCTGGGGCCGCTGACAGGGCCTGGGCTCGCCTGCAGGAGCAGCGGCTGCGGCAGCGCAACACGGAGACGGAGGAGAGCCTGGCGAAGCGGCTGGCCGCCGCCCGCGCCGACCTGGAGAGCAGTGAGCGCTGGGCGCGTCCCGGGAGGGTCCCAGGCCCCTCTCACCCAGGGCCCCTCCTCCCACCTGGGGGTGTCAAGGCTTCCTCTTGGTTTTCCTTTCCCACTGTCCCCCAGGAGAAGAGGACGTTTCAGCGTCAGCCTCACAGGCAGCACGAGCCCCTGTCAGAGGCCCGGGCGAGGCCAGCTGTGCCTGGTGGGGGTTGGTGTCTGGGATCCAGGACCCAGAGCCTCCCCGGGACCGGGCCAGGGCACATCCCTGCCCCGCCCTGCCCACGGCTCTGACAGCATTGGTGGCGAGGGGGCCACAGCGGGGTGGTCAGCTTGGGGGGTCGTGTGGGAGCGGGGGTGGGGCCTAGGCGGGCTCTCTCTGTCCCTGACCTAGACCTGCACCCGTCCCAGGCAAGGAGCCCGGCCTGTTTGACCTGATCATCATCAACGACGACCTGGACACGGCCTACGCAGAGCTGAAGGAGGCGCTCTCTGAGGTGGGCCGGGCCCCTGCCCTGCCCGGGCGCTGCCTCCCTGCCCACTGGGCGAGGCCGGCACTGTGGAGGGAGGACTGGAGGCCCTGCCCATCCTGAGTTCCGGCCTCTGACCCCCTTTCTTCCTCCCTGGCAGGAAATCAAGAAAGCCCAGGGGACCGGCCGTGCCTGAGGAGGCCTGCTCTCGCTCCTGAATGCCCTCTACACTGGCCCCCCAGGGCCCATGTGGGACCAGGACCGGTGTGCAGAGCCGCCCCTTGGCGGGCCCCTGGGTGGCTCTGGGCACTGGGCCAGCACCTGGGCTGGAGGGTGCTACCCACCCAGCCTCCCGTGGTCAGAGGGTCGGGTGCCCCTGCCCCACCCTGCTCCCTTCCCTGGGCTGTTCCCTCCCTGTCTCTCCCGCTGGAGCGGGGCTGACGTCTAATAAAGTAACTGTTGGGTTAGAGCGTCCACACGTGAGTGGAGTGTGGCCCTGAGGTTGGCAGGTCCTGAGCAGGGCTGGGCCGCAGCCCCCTGCGCTAGACCCCAGGCCCTGGCAGCCCATCCTACCAGCAGCCCCAAAAGGGCAGCCAGGTGGGCTCTGCCTGGGTGCCCCAGCTGGTGGATGCCTGGGGAGCTGGCAGGGCCCTTCCCACACACCTGGTGGGCTGCCAGAGCTAGGGGCAGGGCCAGGGGCCGAAGGCTGGCGCTGAGCTGGGCCAGGAGGAGGGTGCTGGGCAGGTGAGGGGCTGAGTGGGGGGAGCTGAGGCTGCAGGGGGGGGCCCTGTGTGAGGTCCCAGGAGAGGCCACCCAGCCCTGGCCATGGCCTCTGGGGGCAGGTTGGGGAGGGGGCTGCATCCTGCGCCTGGGGCAGCTGCTCTGCCTTCTCCCTTTCTCCTTCCCCCTAGAGAGCCCCCACCCCTAGGTTTAGCCTCAGCCCTGGTCGAAGCCCAGGTGGGGGTACAGGGGAGGGCAGCAGGCAGGAAGCCCAGGCGGAAGTCGTGGGGAGAGCGCACAGTCCTGTGTTCTGTCCCAAAGCCCAGACGTTCCTGGGGGACTGCAGAGGAGGGAGGGTGCAGGAGCTGCTGCCGGCTGCTGCCTGGCTGCCTGGGAGGGCCAGCCTAGGCCCTGCCCCCAGAGACAATCGGGGATTCAGGCCCTGAGGCCAGGGGGGAACAATGGGGCCCTTGAGCACCCCTCCCCTGCCCCCCATTGTGCTTGGTGGCGAGAGGTGGCCCTGGCCCTGCTGCGCACCCTCGGGGAGTTCCGGCATCTACACAGGTGGAAGGGCTCAGAGGCAGACGTACGTTTCCTGGCCTGGAAAAGGTAGGGGCCTGTGGGACAGGGGCGTCCACTCTGCCTCCAGAGGCAGCCTCACCCCTGCCCTCCACTGGCTGTCAGGCCCCGCAGGGAGGCAGGGGGTCCAAGGAGGACCATCCCAGTGGGGTGGCAAGCCTGCTGGGGCCTGCTGCTACGTACGGTCTGTCCACCTCAGGCCCAGCTGCCTTCCCGGGCTGGGGCTGACCGGCTGGTCTCAGGGCAATAAGACCTGGGGGTAGCAGGGAGCCAGGCGTGGAATCTGGGGTCCCAGGAGCTGCTCAGGGCCGGCTGGTGGCTGGGAGGGTGTGCCCAGCACCTCCCCCGGCAGCGGGCCCCTCAGCCCGAGGGAGGGCCGCCCATCCGCACCAGCCAGCTGCAGTGTGTCCAGGGGCCGGGCGGGGCGCAGCCCTCCACACTCAGCCATGCACAGACGCAGATCTGGGCCCTGCTCAGCCTCAGGTGGCCCCAAAGTACCTCTGCGCTCCCAGCCCTCGAAATGCCACAGACAGGGCCCTCCTTTAACGAGCGCTCAGTGCCCACTAGGTGCTGGGGCCCTAGCAGTGAGCCCCACAGACCCTGTGGTTCAAGGAACCAACCCAGTGTCCTGAAGGCATCACGAGAGACTGGGCGGCAGTGCTACCTGGGGGGACTGATGTTTAGGGGTACAACAAGGTGGCCTTGTGGCCGATGGGTGAGAGGGCCCTGCTGCCCCACCGGGGTATACGAGAGCAGCCCAGGGCTGCTGCACAGAGAGGCCACACCAGCCCAGGCCCCACGGTGTGCGCCAGTGCCCAGTCTGGTTGAAAGTGGACACAGGCTGCTGTCTGGCGCCGTGGGGTGGGGGGAGTAGGGGATGCAGGCGGGTGGCACCACCTAGCCCCTCACCCCGAGGCAGGAGCAGTCCCTAGCTTCCAGGGCTGACACTTGTGTGCCTGCTTGGAGCCTCCTGGGCATGGGGCTGAAGGAAGGCAGCAGGGCCCACAGGCTCCCAACCTGAAGGGACGCAGCTTGCCCACTCCTGGGCGGAGAGAGCTCAGGGTGGGGAAACCTGGGTCCAGGGGCCACCAGCCTGGATGTTGCTGGTCATAGACCCCAGCCACCTGCACCCCTGGGGTGTGCCGAGGACCCCTCAGGTTCACACCCCAACTTGGTGTCCTGATGTTTCTGAGCACCGGGCTGCCTGCGCTGGGGCTCTTTATGATGGGGATGGACCCTTCGCCCTCCTGGGCCTGGGGGACTTCTCTAAGGGAGGCACATGGCGGGGTTGAGGATGAATGGCGGAGTGTCCATGGCTATGTGTGTGAGTGTGTACCTATGTGTGAGCCTGCCCCTGTGGTGAGAGTGGGTGTGCGCATGTCCACCTGGGAGTACACAAGAGTGTGCATGTGTGCAGTTGGGAGTATGCCCAGTGTGTGTGTATGCACATGGGAGTATGCACAATGTGTGTGCATGTGTGCACCTGGGAGTATGCACGGTGAGTGTGCATGTGTGTACCTGGGAGTATGCATAGTGAGTGTGCATGTGTGTGTACCTGGGAGTATTTATGGTGAATGTGCATGTCTGCACCTGGAAGTATGCATGGTGAGTGTGTGTGTGTGCACCTAGGAGTATGCACGGTGAGTGTGCATGTGTGTACCTGGGAGTATGCAGTGAGTGTGTATGTGTGTACCTGGGAGAATGCACGGTGAGTGTGCGTGTGTGTACCTGGGAGTATTTATGGTGAGTGTGCATGTCTGCACCTGGAAGTATGCATGGTGAGTGTGTGTGTGTGCACCTGGGAGTATGCATACTGAGTGTGTGTGTGTGCACTTGGGAGTATGCACGGTGAGTGTGCGTGTGTGTACCTGGGAGTATTTACGGTGAGTGTGCATGTGTGTACCTGGGAGTATGCACGGTGAGTGTGCATGTGTGTACCTGGGAGTATGCACGGTGAGTGTGCATGTCTGCACCTGGAAGTATGCATGGTGAGTGTGTGTGTGTGCACCTGGGAGTATGCATAGTGAGTGTGTGTGTGTGCGCACTTGGGAGTATTGTGAGTATGCACGTGTGCACCTGGGAGTATTTATGGTGAGTGTGCATGTGTGCACCTGGGAGTATGCACGGTGAGTGTGCGTGTGTACCACCTGGAAGTATGCATTGGCTGATGTGTGCATGTGTGCAACCTGGAGTATGCATGGTGAGTGTGTGTGTGCACTTGTGAGTATGCGCGTTGCACCTGGGAGTATGCACGCGTGAGTGTGCGTTGTGTGCCACTTGGAGTATTGTGAGTATGGCGTGTGCCTGGGGTATTTATGGTGAGTGTGCATGTGTGCACCTGGAGCATGCACGGTGAGTGGTGTGCTGTGTGCACCTGGGAGCATCACGGTGGAGTGTGGTTGCGGCCGTCAGAAATGTACAGCCCGTTGCGAGAGAGCGAACGCCCAAAAGACTCAGAGTCTAGGGCTTGATGCAGAGAGCAAGAGATTTATTTTCTAGGGCAGCGCAGGGGCTAACAGCATCACCGAGATGGGAAGCTGCCGCGCTGAAGCTCTCAAGCTTAGGGCTTTCTATGGGGCGAGACTAAACGCAGGTGGCCGGGAGTTTAGGGTGGAAATTTCTTAGTAGCTCCATCTTGCACACAGTTTGCACAGACCTACCACAATTGCCGAAACTTGCAACGACACGGGAAAAAAAAAAAAGAAAAAGGAGTGTGGGTCTTAATTACCTAAGAGCAAGCATAGTTACAGAAGCGAAAAAGTGTTGGTAGGATCGTTTGGGCCTTTAGCTAGTTTGGCCTTTCAAGTGTGCGTGTGTGCACCTGGGAGCATGCACGGTGAGTGTGCGTGTGTGCACCTGGGAGTATGCACAGTGAGTGTGCCTGAGTACATGAGTACACGTGTGAGAGGGCGTCCAGCAGTGAACGCTGCCAGCTGTGAGGTGGGCTCCAGCAGTCAGGAAGGCTGTGAGCACCCTGTCAGGACTGCATGCCCTTCCGAGCCTGGAGCTCCTTGGGATCCCACCCAGTGGGGGGGTGGACTGTACCTGGGGCTGCCTGCAGGAGGGTGGCCACGGCCCACACCTCACGAGGTCTGTGTTGTGCCCAGCTACGTCAGCCCTGGGAGCTGCTCTGGTGGAGTGGATGGGCAGAGTGGGTTTCTAGGCCTGGGGTCAGGTCCCCATGGCCAGGACGCTGGGCCTCCTGGGCCAGGACATCCGATGATCTGAGGTCCTGGGGTGTCCAGGGTGAGTGCCCAGGACTCCTGGAACCACCACTACAGAGCTGAGACGGGGGCCACAGGTGTGTGAGGGGCCAAAAGTGTGGGGGTGGGGTGCGAGATCATGCTTCTGGGGGGCCTGTGACACCAAGGCCTGAGGGTGGGCAAGGGATGTTGCCATCCTCTGAGTGAGCAGTGTCCCCCATGCAGGGTCCTGGGGGATGGGCTGAAGGGAGGAGACCCTGCCCTGCAGGGGCACAGGGAAGCAGGTGGGAGGGGGGGCCTGGGGGAAGGTGGGGCTAGGGCCAGCCTTGACCATGCATGGGGTGCTCATGAGTGGACAGGGCAGCACAGTGCCTGCCATGCGCTCCGTCCCCTTGTGCTCAGGGAGGAGGAGGGTCCTGGGGCAGGGTCCCCACCTGGAGTGCTGAGCACAAGGGTGCCCTGGCCCACAGCCACACCTAAGCAGCAGGAAGACACCCGCCCCCCCCCAGCCCTGCCCTCCACCCCCAGGGCCCATTAGGGCCAAATTGGGAAGGAAATACCTGGGCAGGGACGCTGACCCTGAAAGCTGCAGGCAGGGGCGGGGCAATCCCTGGTTTTCCACTCTCCCTAGTCCAGACCTAGGCTGGGTTGGGCTTCAGTAGGGGCAACCTTGGGTGGGCCGGTCACCCCTGGTGTCAGGAATTCGTGGACTGGGCATGGCTGGCAGGGCACAGGGTTTGCAGACAAGCAGCCTCGGCCTGCTCACCTTGAGCCCTCCTGGGGGTCTCAGTTCCAGCCTGGGCAAGAAGAAGGGCCAAGCCCATGCCTGCCCCGCCTGCACGGGGCACCCAGCCCCGCTAGGGAAGACCCCTGCCCGACGACCCGACAGCTAGGCAGGTGCCAAGGACGCTGTTATGACCAGGACTAGGAGTGGAGAGAAAAAAGGCCTGGCTGTGAGACCCCCACCAAGAACCCACAGCCCCTTCACTGTGACACCCTCACCCCCCACTCTGATGGCCTCACCCCTCACTCAGACACCCCCACCACTGAGGCCTCCCTCTTTGTGCCTCCATCGGCACTGCCCTCCTGTGTCGGGTCCCTCAGAGCTGCCCCGTCAGCTCTTCCCACGCCTTCATCAGACCCTGCCCGGGCACTCAGAGGCCTGGGGCAGCAGGGACCTGGCTGGACCTCCTTTGGTCACCCCCAGGTTACTGGCCTCACCCAGGCCACCTGGTTCCTCCCCGACCCTGACCCTGGGCCCTCCCAGCCCTGGCTGAGCTGAAGTTTCTCCCCAGCAAGTCCTGTCTTGGACACGCCGAGGCATGGCTGTGGGTGCAATGCCTTTGCACAAAGGGGCTCCTGCGTGTGCACGGCCCGTACACACAGGCCTGGCGCCTGCCAGCACCTGTCTCCTCGCCTCTCCCGCCAGCACCTCTGCAGCCCTGGGCAGCTCCCCTCGGCCTGTCCCTGTCTCTTTGTGGGCAGTCTTTCTTTGTTTTAAATAAGGTTTATATACATATATGTGTGTGTGTGTGTGTGTGTGTGTGTGTGTGTATGTATATATTTCAAGGCTAGCCATAAATAAGGTATTTATTTGACAACACTTAGATTTACAGAAAAAGCTGTGAGGCTGTCTCCCGGCTGGGTGCTCTGGGCCCAGGAGCAGGTGCAGCCCGCGGGCAGGGGCGGAGCGTCTGCAGGAACTGGGAATTCCTCTGCACCATCTATCTGCTTACTTGTTCAGTCATTTGTGCTGTGGGTTCCCACCTATAACGCAACCTAGAATCTAGAATACTACTTTATTTTGTTGCTCAAATTGATGCAGCTTCGGCTCCCTGGGGACTTTTCCAGCTGTCCCATGCCCCTCTGACACAGCCCTATCAGTAAGCGTGTATACTCGAGAGCATGCAAATATTCGTGCATGTGCATGCATGTGTGTGCACACATGGGGATGCTTGTGTGTACTTGTGCATGCATGCTTGAGCACATCCGTCCTCTCTGACCCTGCGGCTAGCTATGGGCAAGAGTTTGCACCCTGTGATGGCCAGGCTCGGTGGCTTGAGCCTGTAATCCTAGCACTCTGGGAAGCCGAGACGGGAGGATTGCTTGAGGTCAGGAGTTCAAGACCAGCCTGGGCAAGAGACCCTGCCTCTACTAAAAAATAGAAAGAAATTAGCTGGCCAACTAAAAAAAATTATATATATAAATTAGCCGGGCATGGTGGTGCATGCCTGTAGTCCCAGCTACTCGGGAGGCTGAGGCAGAAGGATCGCTTGAGCCCAGGAGTTTGAGGTTGCTGTGAGCTAGGCTAATGCCATGGCACTCTACCTCAGGCAACAGAGTGAGAGTCTCTCTCTCAAAATAAAAAAATGTTTGCAACATGTGGCACACAAGTGTTCCCTGCCCCAGCACTAGCGTCAGCCATTTCCCGGAGGATTCCTGGTTCTTTCTATTGGGAGTGGAGTTAGGAGCCAAGACCTGGGACGCAGGTGTGTTCTTGCTCCTAAGGTGTTTTTGCATTTCGGCCCATTCAGGTGGCAGAGCACAGGCATATATGTGCACACCATGTGTATCCACACGGCTAGAAACATTCTCTGTGAAACCACCCACATCCCTGTGAAGTGCATCCTGAGGCACCTGCTGTGATCGTTACCACACACAGGGCGGTTTGGGTGGCCTGGAGAAGGGCTGGGGGTGCGTGTGTGCAGACCAACGCGAGGGGTGCCTGCAGCTGTCATGGAACGGGGGACAGGGTACCTGGTGCTGGGGCCGGTGTGGCCTTGGCATTTGCCCTAGTCGGCAGGAGTCAGGGGAGGGCACATCAGGCGGGGCTGGGGGGCCATTCCAAGGTTCCCCTGGCCTGCTCCGGCGGAGGGAGGCTCACAGGGAGGGATGGAGGAGTGAAGGAGAGGGTTCAGGGTTTGCTGACGGGCTAGGCGGGGTGCAGAGAGCCATCCAGGATAAGGTCCCTGGGATGGGAAGGCCACTCTGGAGGGGAGATTGCTGCTGGGGCTGGAGGTGCCAGGTGCCGGGTGCCAATGTCAGGAGGCAGGTGGGCCCAGGAGAGTTGTGGGCAAGAGTTGCAGATTTGGGAGTCCCCCCACCCCATGTGATGCTCTAAAACAGGTTTCTCTAGGTTGTTCCTAGGCCGGCTGCACTCAGAACCATGTGTCATGAGTGATACCCACCCCCAGGGCAAAGCACCAGGCCTTAGACCTCAGGGTACATTCAGCCCAGGCCAAAGCCACCGTGGGTCTCAAGAGCTGACTGTGCACGTCCCCTCAGCTCCACATTCAGTGTTGCCAGTCGGTAATCACATTTGTGCAGCACCCCTCAGAGCCACACGCATACTCACACATGCACACACACACACACACAATCATACACATGCACAGCACATGCATTTGCATGCATCTGTCTGCATTTATTCCGAGTGCATGTGTACATGCATTTGCACGTGTGGATGTACATCTGTCAGTGCACATCTACGTCTGTGAGAGCACATGTCACGTATGTGTGCAGATGTATCCATCTGTGCACATGTGTCTGTGTGGGCATGCACACATGTGCATACGTGGCTGTGCTGTGTGTGTTTGCACGTATCTTTGTGCATATGTACAGGTGTACTTGCCTATGCATCTGTGTCTGTGCCTGTGTGAGTATGCGTGTGCACGTGCATGGATACCAGTGTGTATACGTGTGTTTGAGAGATTGCATGTGTGAGCCTGCATCTGTGTGTGTGCACATGTGAGTGTGTACATCACTCTGAGGGGCACTGCACAGATGTGAGGAAGCAGGGCCACTTCCCCAGGAACCCCGGCTGCCCCCTCTTCCTGCCCCGGGTGGGGAGGCCCAGCCACATAAAGAGGCCGGAGCCCCCTCCGCCGGCGGCTGCTGCTGGTCCCACACCTGCCGCCGCTGCCTCCAGGTCCAGGAGGGAGGGGGCCAGAGACGTAGGCTGCTCAGGGGTCTCCTGGCCCGCGCTGCCCAGGAGCAGGTACTGGCCATGGGGTGGCCGTGAGGAGGGGGTGGGCGGGGGCTGCAGGTCACTCTCCCCTCTGCAGGGCGGCCCTGCCCCAGCGTCTGTTCCCCGGCACACACACACCCGGGGCTCCGCTGGTCTGCGGCACAGCTGGTGCCCAAGCATGGTCGGGCACTACCGCGTGTGTGTCCTCGCTAGACACTATACCTCCTGGACAGGTGCCCAGCCTCTTCTTGTCCCCCTAGCTGGGGGCAGTCTGTGCTGGCATCTTGGAGGACAAGGAGCCAGCAGCCCCGGACCAGCGGGGGTGGGGAGGGTGGGAGTCCTTTGCGGAAGCGGAGGGACCACCGGCCGGCTGTGCAGGGTGTGGAGGGGGACGGGACGGGGCGGCTGGGGCTGGGGGCCTGTGGCACCACAGGCATGGGGGGCTGGGGAGCTGTGGGGCTGCAGGGGCCGGGCAGGCTGGGAAAGGCCCCCACATGCTGGGAACGTGAACCTGTGGGACCCTCCCGAGTGACCTGGCTGTGGCTGGAGGGTGGGATGGGGGGCATGTGTGCAGCAGAAGCTAAGATTGCACAGTCCCCCATGCTTTGAGTGGGGCTGGCCTTGGTTTCCCCATCTGCCCTGGAAGGCAGCTCACCCAGCCGACTCCCAGGCTCTGTGGCTCTCAGGGGTGATGCAGTCCCAGAGCTGGCACTAGCTCTCCTGAGGTGGGGAGGGTTTGGAGGGGAGCCAGAGTGGCTGGGGTAGGCACTCAGTGGGAGAGCGCCGTCCGGATGCACCCTATGAGCAGGGGCAGGACCGGATGGCTGCTCCCCTTTCCATTGAAGGTGGTGAGCTCCCTGTCAGCAGAGGTGTGTAAGCCCCCACTCTGAGCTCCAAGCAGCGGGGCTCCTGGCCACCAGGCCCTGGCTTCCCAGGTTAAGGCCCCTCGCTCACCTGGCCGCGTGCCCGCAGGTCCCGCCCGCCTGCCCCTATGACCAACATGAGCTGGAGCTTCCTGACGCGGCTGCTGGAGGAGATCCACAACCACTCCACCTTCGTGGGCAAGGTGTGGCTCACGGTGCTGGTGGTGTTCCGCATCGTGCTGACGGCCGTGGGCGGCGAGTCCATCTACTCCGATGAGCAGTCCAAGTTCACCTGCAACACGCGGCAGCCGGGCTGCGACAACGTCTGCTACGACGCCTTTGCGCCCCTGTCGCACGTGCGTTTCTGGGTCTTCCAGATCGTGGTCATCTCCACGCCCTCGGTCATGTACCTGGGCTACGCGGTCCATCGCCTGGCCCGCGCGTCCGAGCAGGAGCGGCGCCGCGCTCTCCGCCGGCGCTCAGGGCCCCGCCGCGCGCCCCGGGCGCACCTGCCGCCCGCCCACGCCGGCTGGCCCGAGCCCGGAGACCTGGGCGAAGAGGAGCCCATGCTGGGCCTGGGAGAGGAGGAGGAAGAGGAGGAGGTGGGCGCGGCCGAGGGTGCGGGCGAGGAGGCAGAGGAGGCGGGTGCCAAGGGGGCCGGCGGGGATGGCAAGGCTGCGGGGGTCCCAGGCCCGGCCGGGCAGCACGACGGGCGGAGGCGCATCCAGCGGGAGGGGCTGATGCGCGTGTACGTGGCGCAGCTGGTGGCCAGAGCAGCCTTCGAGGTGGCCTTCCTGGTAGGCCAGTACCTGCTGTACGGCTTTGAGGTGCGGCCCTTCTTCGCGTGCAGCCGCCAGCCCTGCCCACACGTGGTGGACTGCTTCGTGTCCCGGCCCACCGAGAAAACCATCTTCCTGCTGGTCATGTACGTGGTCAGTTGCCTGTGCCTCCTGCTCAACCTCTGCGAGATGGCGCACCTGGGCCTGGGCAGTGCGCAGGACGCCGTGCGCGGCCGCCGCAGCCCTGGGGTCCCCGCGCCCGCCCCCGCGCCGCGGCCCCCGCCCTGTGCCTTTCCTGCCGCGGCGGCCGCGGGCCTGGCCTGTCCGCCCGACTACAGCCTGGTGGTGCGGGCGGCGGAGCGCGCGCGCGCACACGACCAGAACCTGGCCAACCTCGCCCTGCAGGCGCTACGCGACGGGGCGCCGGCTGGCGACCGCGACGGGGACAGCCCGCCCTGCGCCTCCGGGCTCCCCGCGGCCTCTAGGGCGCCCCCCAGGGCGGGCGCCCCCGCGTCCGGGTCGGGCAGTGCCACGTCTGGGGGCACCGTCGGGGAGCAGGGCCGGCCGGGGGCGCACGAGCGGCAGGGCGCCAAGCCCAGGGCCAGCTCCGAGAAGGGCAGCGCCAGCAGCAGGGACGGGAAGACCACCGTGTGGATCTGAGGACGGGGCGCAGGGCGCCGGGCTGAGGGAGACCCGCCGGCCTTCCTCCTCCACCGCCATGCCCCAGGGGCAGCGGGGCTGCTCATCCCCTCTGGGAGGGGCTGACGGGAGGAGGTTAGGCGCTGGTTAGGGAAGGATGGGGAGGGGGCCTGGGAGCCACGAGGGTCCTCAGTTCCCTCCTCAGCTCTGGTCTGTGACCCCAGAGGGTGTCAGAGGGGGTTGTGTTTGTCATACTCCCTGCAGCAGCAAATAGGGCTCCTTCCCCATGGTTTTTCCCGCAGAGCCCAGGGCAAGCCCAGGTCTTCCTTGCACAGAGGGGAAACAAACCAAGGAGGCCAGGACCTGCAGAGGCTTCTGTGCCCAGCCCTGGTCTGCACCGGCTCCCTGCTCCCTGCCAGGCAGAGGCCCTGGGGGTTCCTGGGGTGCAAGACCACCCCTCTCTCTGAGCTTCTTTGACACCAGGCACAGCACCTTTCCCTGCGACAAACTTGAAGTTCCGACAATATGTCGACGATGCCTTACAGCTCGACCTGCGAGGTGGCAGTCGGACTGTGGACCCTGCTGGGGGAAGGGGGCTCCGGGTTCCTACAAAAGGCCTGGCCTTTCCGCCCTCCTCCCTAATTCAGACCCAGGATTCAGAGAAAGAGAGCAAAATAAAACTAACTTTTGTTTACAACCTTGTGTGTGCATATGCATGCGTGTGACTATACATGTGTGGCTGCGTACACGTGATCACGTGCATGCATATGTGCACATCTGTGTGCACATGTGAGCATGCATACGTGCGTTATGCGTGTGTGCAAACATGCATGTGTACACAAACCCACCACTGGCCACAGGGGAGACATGGCTTAGCCCAAGTTGGCTGGGAGAAGAGACCCCTCCCCAGGGACTGGCTGAGTGAGAGCAAGGCTGCAAGCTGAGCCCCTGCAGCCTGTCAGACAAGTGTGTGCTGCCTGGTGCCAGGCAGTGTGCCGGGGGCCAGGGGTGTGGGCGGAGCACACAGATGGCGAGAAACAAAGAACAGGCTCTGAGCCCAAGGTCAGCCTGCAGCTCAGTGGACGGAGGGCAGTTGTCTCAGGCCCTGCATTATTGGGACACTGGCCAGAGCCTGCAGGGGCACCTTTGGCAGAGCAGGGCATGGTGGGGGGAGACCGGCTGCTGCCAGAAAGGAGCCCCCTCAGTGTGGGCCTCAGGTGACCTGTCCCTCCCAGCCTCCCTGAGGCCCAGGGCAGTCTGGCAGCCTCGCGTGGGCTGCAAACCCCTCTCTTTCTCTGGTGTCCCTGGCTCAGTACTGGAGTTTTTCCTCAGCCTGACTGGCCACTGGCCACCTGCCGACTGAGTCCCTCTCCTTTCTGGGGACTGCCAGGCTGACCTCCATGTCAGGTGAGCCCCACTCCCACAGAGCCATAGCTGGGATGCTGGGAGTGGAGCCTCAGGGAGGGAAAGCAAACCTCAACCGCGAGCAGGTGCCCACCCCAGTGGGGCTGCACCACCAGCCTCTCCCCGGCGGGGAGGGTCCGAGTTCTGGCCATCCCCGGATTTGAGGCCGTGCTGCAGGTGGGGCTGTTGTGCGGGGAGGCCAGGTCTCTCTGGGGGGACATTTCGTCCAGTCTCGCAAGGCACCTGGGCACAGCTCACTCTTCTTTGACCATCTGGGTCTATTCAGGCCTTTTCTGAGCCAGCTTAGTCTTTGTTTATATAGATACAGATACACAAGGTAGTGTACCGCGTCTGTGTCTGTATCCCTACCGCGTGTGGTTCTGCTGCTCTGGTGAACCCTAATACACATCCCCTCAGCCAGAGCCCATTAAAACGCATCACAGCTGCAGGAGAAGCTGTAAATGGAACCCCTATTTTTTTCTTTTTTTTAGAGACAGGGTCTTGCTGTGTCACCCAGGCTGGAGTGCAGTGGCACCATCATAGCTCACAGCAGCCTCAACTCCTGGGCTCAAGCAATCCTCCTGCCTCAGCGTCCTGAGTAGTTGGGACTACAGGTGCATGCCACCACGCCCAGGCATTTGCTTTGTTATTTTAGAAAGAGACGGGGTCTTGCTATGTTGCCCAGGCTGGTCTCCAACTGCTGGGCTCAAGTGATCCTCCCACCTCAGCCTCCCGAGTCGCTGGGACTACAGGCCTTCTTTGAAAAAGCTTAGTCTTTGCTTATATAGAATGTGTCTATATCTCTATCTCCTGTGTCTGTTTCCCTGAGAATCCTAATACACATCCCCTCAGCCAGAGCCCATAAAAAGGGCACCGAGCTGCCAGGGACGCTGATCAGTCTGCCTGGGCCGCCACAGCGCATCACCACACACACACTTCCCCAGTCCTGCGGGCCAGAAGCCAGAGATGAAGACGTGGGCAGGCCTGGTTTTTCCTGAGGCCTCTCTCCTTGGCCTGCAGATGGCCCTCTTCCCCATGTCCTCACATGGCCGCCCCTGTGTGTGCCTCTGTGCCCTAATCTCCTCTTCTTTTGAGGACACCAGTCAGCCTGGATTAGGGTCCACCCCAACGAATGCATTTTAACTTAATCACCTCTTTAAAGGCTCTGTCTCCAAATATAGCCACAGTCTGCGGTCCCAGAGGTTAAGACATCAACACACCAACTTTGATGGGACATAATCCTGTGCCTATTAGAAGGCATATGCCCAACTAGAAGCTCTGTTACCACAAGAGAAGGGACCCTAAGGGACAGATCTCCCCTCTTGGAGACTCTGGGGTTGGGTGGACCACCGAGGTTCCATTAGATTTGAGACTGTTTTTTTTGTTTTTTAGCATTTGGTAATCTGTCATGATTTATTAGCTGTACAGCAGTGGATCCTCCTCCCCAGCTTTCAACCCCATTACACATTTTATCATAGGTCTCACGTGGGTGTCCTAAAATAATGGAAAATATCACAGTATAGCTAAGCACAAAATGCGTCAGCCTAGAGTCTGGTAGCTGACTGATGGCTCTCCTAAAAGTAATACACAGGAAAAAAAAGGGTTTGAAATCAGTAAGACTGAGGCTCTTCCTGCTGTCAAATCCCCCCAACAAGAACGTCCCTAGCCAGGAGGGGAGGTGCAGCTGTGCCGGGTGAACCCCAGCCTCGGCACGATCTGATGGGCCTACCTCCAATCTGGACATTAGCGCCATGTCATGCCCGAGCCCCCAATTAGGGCTGTCATCTCCCATCTGTGCATGAAGTGGTATCTAAGATGCTCAAGTCTACTGCCTCCCAGAGGCTAAACCTGACCCAGCTACTACATGGCACTTAATGGTCACTTTACTATTAAAAAACCAAAATCTCCATGCCTTAGTTTCCCTATCTGCCCAGGGTGCCCACGAGGGTGGTGAGCTGAGCCTGGGCACTGCTGACATCACCACGACCACTGCCTCCTCTGTCCCCATCTTCAGAGCTCTGGTGCAGGCCGGGGATTCCAGGAGCCAGAGGGGCAGAGCCTGAGCCGGGGCCGCTCTGGGGCAGAATTCGACAGCACTGGCCTCCGTCTCACCCCCATCCGTTTCCACGGCCTCAGCCAACTTGCCGGGGGCTCGCGTGAAGGGAGGGGAGAGTGGAGGGATGATCAGATATACCTCCAGAACGGGGGCAGTCTCCCTCTCTTCCTTTAGGAAGGGAGGAAGCCATAAGGAGAGAATAACAGGAAACCACAGTCAGCCCCGGCAGGGACTGGGAAGCGAGGTCTGGGACCCCCACGCCCCGCCAATTTTCCAGTTCTCAGCTCTCCGCCCCTACTGAGAGTCTCCGGCAGTGGCTCCAGCTGCAGCTGGCCCCTGGCAGGGGGACAGCAGCCCAGGGGCGTTGGGCTGGCCAGGCTGCTGCAGAGGGTCCAAGAAGGCTTCCTGGACAACGGGGCCTGGAGCCACCGCCATGCAGCTCTGGACACTAGAAATGTGGCCCCAGTGACTCCAGGGCCAATAGTTCCACTTTGTTTCCTTTCAACCCATTTGCATTCAAGTGGCCCCGGTGGCGGTGGCGGCGGCAGGAGAGACTGGGCCCAGCTGGGGCACCGGGCCAGCCCCTCGCCCTTCCTGCCGGCGGAGCCTGGGTGGACGTGAATTCCTCTGCTGGCCTTGGGGCAGGCTGACGTGAGGCTGCAGGAACGTGCCCCCCACCCTGTGAGTGTTGTCCCCACCTGGTGTTGTCCTGCCTGGCTTCCGCTTTGTCCTCACTGCGGTAGCTGGGAGGTGCGGGGTCACTCTCAGGAATGCCGGGCCCAGGAGGAGGAAGGGGCAGTGGCCAACGGTCAGGGAGCGCATTCCAGGCCCGACCAGTCTCAACTGGGAAGACAGCCAGCGGGAGAGCTGAGCACCAGAGGGCTTGGGGGTCCCAGTGGGGTGCTCTGTGTGATGAGCCATGCCTCCACACTGGCCAGGTGTGGCTGGGAGACATCCGGGGCTTCACAGGGCTTGGGGCAGGCCCTGAGGAGGGTTCTGAAGCTCAAGTAAGAGCTCAAGGGACTGGGTGGCTGCAGCCAGGGGGAACAGGCTGATGGGCAGGGCCTCGAAGGCCAAGTCCAGGGCCTGCCTGGGACCTGGCCACACCCAGGGAGCAGCACACCTGGGCCCTTTCTGCAGAGATTGCCTGGGTCTGGTATTCATGGATCCTCTCAATGGTAACTGAGCCCCTAATTCGAGCTGGGGGCTGCACAGGCCCTAGAGATATGCCAGGAGCTAAGACAAATGCTCCTGAACCCCTCCCAGGCCCATCTGTCCCTTTCCTTGGAAAATCCAGTTTCAGCAAGAGCCATGCTGAGTCAGTTCCCCAGAACCCTGCAATCTCAAAACCTGACCACCCTTGATGATATCTGAGCAGCTTCTCATCCTCCTCCCTCGTCCAGGGGATGTGTGGTTACCCCTGCCTGTCCCCGCTTGCCTCAGCTGTGTTTGGGGTTGAGCCTGGTGTCTCTGCCCCACCACACAACCCATGGCCATGGCCCTCCACCTATGGAGGGGACCTGATTACGTCTGCCATGCAGGCTTTGACAAGTGTCGGTGAGGAAGTTTTTTCTTTAGCAGCTACAAAAACTGCTCACCTGGAGACCTCCAGACCATAAACAAAAGTCATTTTGAGTAAGTGGAGTCTTTGGTGCTTTGAGTCAAGGTCTGTGGAGAAGAGAACAAGGTAAACAGGGCAGTGGGTCCCAGGGTGCCAGCCAGGCAGGGACAATGTGGACCAGGGTGGTTGGTCTAGGCCTGTGGGTGAAGGCCAGTGGGGCCACCCTGCAATGGGTCACCTATACCCAGGAAGAGACCCTGTGCAGTGGGAGACCACCCCTAAAGGGTCCAGCCACCCAGACAGGCAAATGGGGACACCAGTCCCTGAGGAAGCATCATGGGGTGGATACGCCACACAGGCCTGCAGCTCCTACCAACACCGTCCACTCTGAGTTCAGCCACAAGGAGACAACATGGTGAATCAGGGCCGTCCTGTGTGAGGACAGGCCAGGCTCCAGGGTGGACTTGGCGTCCCACATTCAAGGGACTGAAGACACACAACAGTGGCCACCACATGTCAGGGGTAGCCCTGCCAGGACAAAAGGGGTAGTTGCCAAAGATGGGCTTGGAGACACTAGAAAGGTTGGTGGTGTCTGGGCACAACACAGGGATTGGGGACTGGCAGGGCAGTGGTCAGGACAGTGCCTGCCCTTGTGCCCAGGAGACGCCTGGGGCTGGAGAGTCCTGCCATTCAGCAAAAAAGAAAAAAAAATAACATAGATGGACAGATAAGGCAGAGACAGCAAAATGTGTACAACTGTCGAATCTGACAGAACAGGTGTCCTTATAGGACAAGGAAGAGGCAGGGTTTGGTGGCTCACACCTGTCATCCCAGCACTTTGGGGGTCGTTTGAGGCCAGGAGTTTTGAGTCCAGCCTGGGCAACAAACGGAGACTCCGTCTCTCCAAAAAAATTAAAAATTAGCCGGACACGGTGGCGCATGCCTGTAGTCCCGGCTACTGGGGAGGCTGAGGCAGGAGGATCGCTTGAGCCCAGGAGCTGTGATCGCACCACTGCACTCCAGCCCAGGCGGCAGAGCGAGACCACACTTGGGCGCGCATAGCAGCCGCAGGTGAGCAGGGACCACGGCACCTACCCGGCAGGAGGGGTGGGGCCTGCGCACTGACGGACAGGCCGAGGCCCCGCCCATCACCACGCCCACACTGCCCCACCCCTGCCGCAATACACCGCGCCGCTTAGGCACCGAAGCCCCGCCCCTCACGCACATACGCTAGCACCGCTCCAACTTTTCTGCTCCTCACGCAACACATCCACGCTGCCCCGGCCCTCACGCACATACGCCAACGTAGCTTCATTCCGCGCACATACGCCCGCGCTGTCCCGACGCTCACGTTCGCAAGCGCCGCCCGCCCCGCCGGGCCCCTCCCGCTCACACGTCCGCGCGGCCCTGCCCCTCACGCACGCTCCTCCCGTCCCTTCCCGCTCTCCTTCCGGCGGCCGCCGCCAGAGGCCGCTGTGGCGCCCGCCCCTCCCGCCACCACTACATTCCTGCCCAAGATGGCGGCGGCAGTGCTGCTTCGGGGCGCGACTCCGGGGCGCGGCGGCCCGGCCTGGCGTTGGCGGCTGAGCGGGACGCCGAGGCGTCGCCTGGCCCAGGGCTCCGGCTTTCCCTGCGGTGACCCCGCGGGCGGTGCAATATGGACTTGCTTCCGGCTGGACGAGCGCGCACTGGTGCGCGTGCGCGGCCCGGACGCGGCGCCTTTCTTGCTGGGGCTGCTGACCAATGAGCTGCCACTTCCGGGACCTGCGGATGGCGTGGCCCCGCCTCCTGTGCGCGCGGGCTACGCCCACTTCCTGAACGTGCAGGGCCGGACGCTCTATGACGTCATCGTGTACGGGTGAGCTCGGGCAGGGGGAGGGACGGGGACGGTTGCCCCGGTGGCGCATTCCCGGGGCGGCAGGGGGCGGACGGGCACGGCGCGCGCGGGGGGCGATACCGGGGGCGGGCCTGCGGGGACGCGGAGGGCGGGCACCCACGGCCGGGTCTGCGGAGGGTAGGGGTGGGTAGCACGGAATTCCCCCGGGGGAGAAAGGGCTGCCGGGAAGGCCGAGCTGGACGCCTAGAAGGTCCCCGGGGAAGGCCGGTG